TTAGATTCTAGGCTCAAGTCATTACCAATGGGCTCAACATCTAAATAAAGGTCCAGGCTCTAAAAGTCCTACTGGGTGTCCTTCAGCACCCAGCAGACAGTGAAGTGTCTCTCCATTATTGTGACAGTCCAGACAGCTCCACCCATTTCCAAGCCGACTCCAGCAGGCAGCCTGGCCTTTCTGTACAGTGGCTGAGTGGACTCAGTGGTCTCTTTCAGCTCAGCTATTCTGATAATAGTCGTCATTTCAGCTCAGCTATTCTGATAATAGTCGTCATTTAATCAAACTAACATTAATCATCTGCTCTGTGCTAGTGTCATGCATATAAGAAAAAACTATCATCTTCAAAGTGCTCACGGTGCTTCTGACATAGGAGATTAGAGTGTGGCAAAGTTGGCTGGGGTAGTAGGCATGACCTGTTAAGTTCCGGAATCCGTACACATGCGCAGAACAGTTCCCAAAAAACACACCTTGCATGCGTTCTCGTGAGAACCTGAGCAGGTTTCCAATAGGATGACCAGGACGTGACATCAGCCAGAGGCAGGGGATCCCAGCAATGCCTCTCAGACCCGTATGTACAGGTTCTTGAGGGTTTGAGATGTGGGCACTGTTGGAGGGCAAGGGCGCTTAGAAAATCTGTTCCTCACCAAAGTGCATCCTGCTTTCTCCCGGGTGTTTTATCTTTTGCTTCGTACTTCACCCAAGTTCACTCTGTAGAGCCAGTTTCTCCCTCAGGCTTCACATTTCAGATTCTGCCACTGCCTTTTGTTTGTTTCATTCAGTTCTTTTTCAGAGACTGGAAGAGCCCGGGATTCAGCTCCAGGAGAGGCGAGCAATCCAGTAACGTTTATCTGGCAAAGCCACTTTTTGAAACAGGCAATGCCCAATAACATTTTGATGCAGTCAGCTAGGAAATTCCAAAAATAAAGGCACAGCCTTGGTCTTGCTTGTGAGTGACAAGACCCACCCCACTCTGACCAGGGTAAGGAGAAAGGGAGTTCAGGCGCAGCTGGACCCACGTGCTCACCTGGATCCCTGCAGAATCTCCTGGTTCTGTTTCCCTCCTAGAGGCTTCAGGCCCCTTGGTCACCCCAGCAAAGAGTGCTTCCATGTAGGCTGGCTCCCAGGCCCTACTGTCCCTCCCTGGTTCACACCCCAGGCCCTGTGACTTAGCAGTTCAGTCTAAGGTTGCATTCATTATGTAGCCCAGGCTGTCCTCAAACTCACAGTGACCCTCCTGTCTCAACCTCCTGAGTGCTGGGATTACAGGTGTGCACCACCACACCTGGATTTATTTTTGAAACCTTATCTTTCATATTGTAAAAGGGACAATGAAATTTATTTGTTTCATCCACTTTTGTTGTGTTTGTGTTTCATGCCAGGGTTTGAACTCAGGCCCTTGCAGGTGCTGGTCTAGAGCTCCACCATGGCCCTGCCTTCCTTTTGGTCTCCAGCAGGGCCATGCTGGTTCCCGACACTTAACAGAAGTGGCTGACAGAGTCAGCAACACTTAAAAGAAAAGGAAGCCTAGATTCCGGAACTCTTTCTGGTGGTATCATGGATTCAATGGCAATTTTTTTTTTTTTTTTTTTTTTTTTTGTATTTTAGGGAAGGGTGTACAGGGTGTTCAAGGCCTCACTATCCACCTATTTACAGCCTCCCAAGAGCTGGGATTACAAGTGCATGCCACCACCCCAGTCTCAATTGCCATCTCAGTGTGCTCCGGGGGCGGGGCTGGCACAGCAGGCCTGGGTATCGAATCCCCGGCCCCTGTGCCTGCTTGCAGGTGCTTTAATCTGTTGAGCTATTTGGCTGGCCCTCAATGGCAAATTTTATAAATGAGTTTCACAGAAGACCTATCAGCACATGGAAGCCAATTTTTAAGATATTTAAAAATAAATGGACAGTTAAGTCTTGATATCAAATTCTCCCAAATATCATATACATGGGTCCAGGGCACTCGCTAGCGCAACTGATGTAGGAGTGCATATAACGTTCTCTGCAAAGTCGAGCTGAACCAGGAGGGACTGTGCACATTTGGCCAAAGACACAGCTGTCACAGTGAGTGTGCGGGACGTGACTGCAACTGCTCCTGAGCGTGATTGGAAGAGACTGTAGCTCCCAGTTAGTATAGCGCAGTGTGGTGCTGGGTTACATTTGCATGGATTGCTGGGCACAGTGGCACTCGCCTGTGATCGCCTGCTCAGGAGGCTGAGGCAGGAAGATTGCTGTGAGTTTGCATTTGAGGCCAGCCTGGACTATGCAGTGAGTTCAAACTCACCCTGAACTACTGGGTGCTCACCTGGATCCCTGCAGAATCTTGTCTCAAAAAACCAAAAATAAATAAATTTGTATGTACATCATCAATTTTTAAGTATCGTGAAGAGAATTTGACCAGCTCGTCCACAGCTATAGCAGTGCATACAGAGGGGTGATTGAATGCCAAAGCTTGGCATGGTGACACATGCTTGTAATCCAGCACTCGGGAGGCTGAGGTTGGAGGATTTTTGGGAGTTCAAGACCAGTCTGGGCTACAAAGTGAGCTCAGGGCCAGCCCAAACTGCACAGTGAGACTATCTCAAAAAAACAGAACAAAAAAATTATTACAGCAAAAGACACATTGGCATTATGCCTTCACAATACCCCTTCCCTTCAAATACACTTATCCTGTCATTCTTGATAGTTCCTGAAGTGGTTCTGGAAGTCCTTTTCCACATTTAAGAGGTGTGATGAAAACTACAGAGAATCCTGCTGCCAAGTGCCATCCAGTGGCAGTCCTGGTGGCACAGCTCCCTTGATTACTATGGCTGTCAATCCTGAAACTGGATAGCTTTACCCTCCCACTTCATTATTCTTTTCCAAATTATTTTAACTATTCTCCTGCCTTCTCATGAAATGTTCAGAGTAATGTTGTCTATATTATAGCTGGCTTGTTTGATAGAAATTACACTAAATGAACATCTTCACTATGTTTTCTTCCACACAGTAATCATAGTATGTCCAGTAAATGTTTTGTTAGATTCATACCTATTCCATTTATTCAACCAACTGTAACTTTTGCACTTTATTGTCCATGTGATCATTGCTAGCCTGTAGAAACACAATTAATTTTGGTATGTTTATCCCCTATCCAGCAACTTTGCCAACCTCTGCTTAAACTGAAAGTTAGGATAACTGTGCATTCTTTGGTATTTTCCAAGTGCTGTAGACAATTATTTCAGTTGCACTGTCTCGGTTACTCTTCTCTCTTGCTGGGACAAATACCTGACACTCAGAATGAAGGAAAGAAAGGTTTATTCAGCTCACAGTTACTAGAGGTTTCAGTCCGTACTCAGCTGGTTACAAGGCAGAGTGTACATGACAGAAATCAACCTTTCACGGTGGTGTCAAAGAGCAAGAGCAAAAGGAGGGGCAGCAACCCAGGCAGCTAGCTAGCCTCTCAGCCCTCTTACATTGTTATGCAAATTATCTGCCCCAGGGCAGGTGCAGCATCCACACCCACAATAATCACCTGCCAGCCGGATGGATTAAAGTGCCTGCTTAGGCAGACACAGGGACTGGGTTGGATCCCTGGCCTGCCATAAGGGACCCTGCCCCCTGGGCATGCTGAGGGGGGGAGCAATTGAGACTGGGCATGTAAAGGAATCCGTTTTGTTCTCACTATGATTGGTTCTACCTGGGGAGAAACAGCAGCTGGAATGAGAAAGACAGACAAGAAGACAAAATTATACTTTTGCAAAGTTAGTAACACACGACACAAGGTTGCCTAGTGAATTACTGTTTTAAAAATCTGTTACATGTGCATTGTTTTATGTTACCCTGTTTCTGTCTTTATTTCTTTTGCTTCTGTTTTTGCTCTTAAAATAAAATGAAATTAAGTTAAAAAAGAAAAAAAAAAAAGGTTGCCTGGCTGACCTTAACCAAATAGGATGTTTATCTCAGGAGTGAGGTAGCTTGGTTGCTTTAGGCACTGAGGTCCAGTCCCACCTACACATATTTGATGAATTTTTTAGCTTCCTATGGCTCCCAAAAGGCGTGGTGGCGTAAACCTTTAATCTCAGTGCTTGGGAGGCTGAAAACAGGAGGATCGCTACAAGTCTGATCTGTGTAGTGAAACCCTGTAGACCCTGTACCAAATATATGGGAAAAAAATCGATCACGAACTCCAGAAGCCACCTCATGACTGCATAAGGCTTCGGGGAGGGGGGGGCAATTCCACACAAACCATAACAGGCACATAGTGACTTTCCTATTCTTTCTGATGTACAAATGTTAGAGGGTGTCTACTTATAATGTACAACTATAAATGTTCTCTGAGAGTTACCAGATGGCACTGTGACCCTGTAAAAACAGAGGGGTCTATCGTGTGCACCTGTCGTAGCTGTTTCCACTATTTTAGCGATTTCTGTTATTCAGGTATTTGGTTTTTGTCATCTGATCAAGCCTTTATTCCAAAGATTTATCTCATCTGCCGGCTATATCCTTTTGAAAAAAAAAAAAAAACACTTTGTGGGTATTGAAGCTTAGGAAGACATAGGGGACGGCTTGGTACAGGTCTAACAAAAGTCGTCCTGCGGGGCCTGCCCAGTAGCTCAGTTGTTTAAGTGCCTGCTTAAGCAAAGCCCTCAAGCTCAAGCTTCTTTGGTTCGAACCCAGACAGTTACTGAAAACCAGAAATGCCCTAAAAGCATTTGAGCCTCCAAAAAAAAACCCTTCTACCATTAGGGGCCGGGGAGATGGCTTAGTGGAATATGCGCTTCCCTGGCAAGCGCAAGGGCCTGAGTTCAATCCCCGGTTCTGCAAAAAAAAAAAAAAGTCGTCCTGCAAGAGCCCGCTTAAGGGCCAAGCCAGGGGACCAACCGCGACTGCGTTTGGGGCGCCGGCTCCTCCCAGCCGCGCGAGGGCGCTGTGCGTCCCTGCGGCTCGCGGCGGCGCTCTTCCTTCGCCTCCTTGGTTCGGACTGAGGCTTTCGGGACAGCGACGGAAAGATGGCGGCGCCCGGAGCCGAGCGCGAGTGTGCGGAAGCGGAGCTCTGCGCGGACAGCCAGGGGGGCTCGGGCGTGAAGGTGGTGCCCCCCTCGGAAGCTGCCGCCCCCGCCCCGCTTTGCCCTCACGGTGGGTCGGCGTCGGGATCCAGCCTGGCCGGCGCCGGGCCTGGGAGCGTCGGGAAGCGCGGGGGGCGTTAGCACTCCCGGGGAGGAGGTTGTCCTGGGCTTCCCTTCCCCACCGCGTATGATGCATAAAAAGGCACAGATTTTTCAGGGTGTTCGTTTTTCAGCTTACTTGAGAAACCTTCTGAGAAGTTTCTGCTCTTGAGGTTTTGTCTGCAGGGAGTTGTATCAGTTTTGTAGGAAGGGGTGAGGGTAGGGGAAGGAGATACGTCGTACTGAAAAATTCCAGGGGACAAGTAATTGGGGATTTCGTTTGTTGCTTTACTGCCTGTATTTTTATTTTTTTTAAAGTAGAGATAACGATAAAATTTTTGCTTGCAAACAGGACCGAGTTTTTCACTAACTTGTAGAGGATGTGGCCAACTTTAAAAGTTCAGGTTTTCACTGGAAGAATGAATAGCTGTGCTTGCGGTGCTGGGGATGGAGGTAGCAGAGCTTGCAATTCTCTGGGGTTCTGCAGTTTTATTTTCAGGTTTATTTATTGGCCTTTTTTTGAGGCCGAGTCTCACTGCACATCAGGCTGGCCTTGAGCTCACGTCGATCCTCTTGCCTCAGCCTCCTGAGTGCTGGGATCACAGGCCTGTGCCACCAAAATATTTTATTAGGGCTGTATATGTTTGCAGGACCTAAATGATTATATTCATCGTGAGGAGTAGTTGGTGGACCAAGACTTGCAATATTCTACGTGGACAACTATATTGCTGAGAGTGTTTTCTTTCTGGGGAGACCACTTTTCTTAAGTTATTTCTGATAAACTGGGCATGGCGGCATGGCGGTGCAATCCTGTAATCCCAGCACTTGAGATTGGGGATGGGCGTGGTGGGGCTGAAGCAGGTGGATCATTGCAAAGGTTCAAGACCAGCTAGGGCTACAAAGTGAGCTTGTTCCAGCCTGAACTGTACAGCAACACGCAGTCCCGAAGTATGTGTTTTCTGTGACTGAGGAAAAATTTTATTATTGAGCTGGGGATATAGCTTAGCAGCATAAGCTCCTACCTGGCAAGTTCAAGGTCCTGAGTTCAGTCCCAGGTACCAAAGAAGAAGAAAAAAAAAGACAAAAATTTTATTAGCAATAGTTGTGCATAAATGAACAAGTGACATTTAAGGTAATGGAAGCTAAGAACTTGATGTAGATTGCTGTTGTCATGCTTTCTCCTCTTCTGGTGCTAGGACCTACCCTTCTGTTCGTAAAGGTGAGCCAAGGGAAGGAAGAAACACGGAGGTTTTATGCCTGCTCAGCCTGTAGAGACAGAAAAGATTGCAATTTTTTTCAATGGGAAGATGAAAAGGTATGACAACTTCTTGGATACATTCTTAATGTAAATCAGCTTTATAAACGTTTGATAAAACCATGTAGTTTGAACGTTATATAAGATAAATTTCTTAAGAGAGATGGTAATACCATGGTTTTTAGTTTGGGAGACTCATGGATCTTTTACTATCTTCTTCAAACTGATGTGTTAATATCGGGTGGCTGTTCTTACTCAGGACTCAAGACCAGGCCAGAGATGGGGAGGAAAGGGTAAGAGAGTCAAAAGAAGGAACCCACCCACGCCAGGGCTCCTGCTCCTGGTGGTGAGAGTGCTACCCTCATGATCTCCGAGACCTAATCACTTCGCAAGAGCCCTACTGTACATTGAGGCCTAGGGTCCCACCTTGTGGAATATTTGCATGCACTTCACTGGTTGACTGCACCTAATCAAAATTCTGATATTCTGGATAAGGGCTGCTAATTACTATACCATCACGGAGGGTTAAACTTTAGCGAACATACCATGTGTGGATTGGCAGCCCTCCAATGCAAGTACCATATGGATTTCTCCCAGAAATGTCTGTCAGTGGTGGCAAACCCCTTAGCGCTTTCAGTAATGAGCAGCACACTGCAGCGCTCATTCCATAGGTTCACCACCACCAATCTGAGTGACGATCATTCCAGGGGATGCTAGGAAAACATCATTTTAGACACATCCTTTGTACAACTACCGGCTGACCAGTGAAGGCACAGACAAACATAGTTATGGGCTTCTGTCCTTTTGGACCAAGCTCTGGTTCAAGTCTGTGAGAGCCTTGACTACAGAATTTTCAGTGGGTTGGATTTATTGGAAAATGGACCCTTCCGCACTGGTCTCCAGCCCCATTAAAGTCACTATGTTGGAGTCGCTGTCTCTCAGTGCTTTGTGACGTGTGCTGCTTCCAGCAGCTCCAGAATCCTCCCGAGCCACCCCTGCCCCGTGAATTTGTTGCTCTTTGATACCAGATGCGATACCAATTTTTTGAGAGCTGTAACAAGCTTGATAGTTGGTTAGATGGGATTTGTGTCTTTCAGCTGTCAGGAGCCAGACTCGCTGCCCGGGAATGTCACAACCGAAGAGGTCGGCCTCCCCTCTCCCGGTTGCAATGTGTGGAAAGGTACCTATGTGCTGGTGTTGCTTTTTATTCTTTTGGTGCTAATGTTCCTTTCCTTTTTTCTGTTTCTTTATTCTTTTAGCTATGTTTGTATTTTTTCCTGTACTGCTTATTTGCATATCTTTATTGTGGGAAAATACACATATAACATAAAGCTTGCCATTTTATTCATTTTTAAATGTATAATTCAGTGGCATTAACTATATTCACAGCACTGGGCCACCATCACCACTATTTCCCAAAGTTTTTTGTCACTTCAAGCAGAAATTGCCCCCACTAAGCAATAACTCTTCATTTCATCTTTCTCCAGACCCTGGTAACCACTAAATGTACTTCTAATTGCTGTGAATTTGGCTATTCTAGGTACCTCATAGAAGAGGGATTGCACAGTGTTTGTACTTTTGTGTCTGCTTCTTTATTTTAGCATAGTTTCAAGGCTCATCCATGCTATAGTGTATGAGAGACTTTAATTCTTTTTATGGCTGGGTAATATAATATTCCATTGCCTCTGGAGTCTGCAGTTGGGATTTTTGGTTTATTTTTGAGACAGGGTCCCACTAATGTAGCCCATGCTGGCCTTGAGCCTGCAGCAGCCCTCCTGCCCAAATGCTGGGATTATAGTTGTGTGCAGTCATGCATATCTGGCTCTGCTTCGCAATTGTTTGTCTGTTCATCTGTTGGAAGGCTACAGAGGAGGTTAGCTTACAAATAGCTGCTGGAGTCTGTGTTTTTAGTTCTCATAGGTAGATGCTTCATTGCTTGGTCATATGGTGATTCTATATTTAAATTTTTGTTAGTATATATTGTGATAAGCAATAATTACATTCTATGTTTAGGGATTTCTGGTTTTTTTTTTTTTTTTTTTTTTTTTGCGGAACTGGGGATTGAACTCAGGCCCTTGCGCTTGCCAGGGAAGCACTAACTCCCCGGCCCCTGTTTTTGTTTTTTAGACAGGGTCTCACTGTATAGTTCAGGCTGGCCTAGAACTCACTGCGTAGCCACGGCTTGCCTCCTATTAGCAGCAGTCTTTCCGCCCCAGCCTCCCAAGTGCTGGGATTACAGACATGCACCATCCGGCCTGGCTGTTCTGTTTTTGAAGGAGCTGCCAAACTTTCTAACAGTGGCTGCACCATTTAATATCCCTACCATCACTGTGTAAGAGTTTCACCAGAGCCACACCAGCATTGACTATATATTGTTGTTTTTACCACTTCCTTCCTAGAAGGTGTGACGTGGCATGTTGTGGTTTGTTTGTTTGTCTTTGTTTTTGAGACAGATTCTTACCAATTTAGCCCAGGCTGGCATCAAACTGAGGTTTTGATTCTTTTGGTCCCAAATTATTAAGATGGTACTCATCTTTTCATGTGTGCTTTGGCCATCTGTGTGTCTTCTTTGGAGGGATATAGTTGAGCCATTTGTTTACTTGTTTGTTTGGTACCAAGAATTAAACTCAAGACCTTGCACTTGCCAGGCATGTGCTGAGCCATCGAGCTATATCCCTGGCCCCATTTGTTTGCTTTTGATTGGGTTGTATCATTTTTTGTTGAATCACAAAAGTCCTTTATTGATAATAGATTTTACATACTCGTCATATTTGTGATTTGCGTGTGTTTTCCCCAATTTTGTAGGTTTTCTTTTTACTTTCTGTCTTTGACACTTAAGAGACTTAATTTTAATGAAGTCTAATGATGTTTTCTTTAGTTGCTTGTACTTTTAGTATTGTAGCCTAGGACGCATGACCAAATCCAAAGTCATGAGTACTTTCTGTAGCATTTCCTTCTGGAAATAGTAAACCAAAAAAATATTTAAAGAAAAAAATTTATTTAATAAGAAAAAATTTTTAAAAATGTTTAAAGTTGTAAGCATCTGTTTTTTAAAATCTGCATTTTAGCTTTGTGTTTTTGAGGCAGGGTCTCACTGTAGTATAGGCTGGCCTTGCTCATGGTGACCTTCCTGCCTCAGCCTCCCAAGTGCAGAGGTGTCTTATTAAGTGACTTGGCGCCAAGTCAGAGACTTAACTCTTCAGCAAGCCTAGCAGCAGGCTTGGCACTCTGGTGTCGTGGGCGTGGCCCTCTGTGGCCTGAAGAGGCTCTCTGAGAAGTCCGCAGTCAGAGTTGCTGATGACAGTGGATTTTTTTCTTCTTCTTCTTTTTGGTGGTGGTTGTCCTTGAGCCCAGAGCTTCTGCACTGAGCCATGCCCATCATTACCAAGTAAGTCAGTCCTTGGGGCTGGGTGCAGAGTTCAGTCCTCTTGCCTCAGCATCCCAGCGTGTGGGTTGCAGCTGTATCATGTGCCCGGCCAACTAGATTTCAGTTCACTGGCAATTCCTTCTCTCACTTGGGTGGCTGTGTGGAGAATAGTGAGACCTCATTCTGGTGAAGAGCAGAGGGGTCCCCGGATGTCTCGGTTACTTTTCTCTCATTGCTAGGACAGAATATGTGACACTCGGAATTAAGGAAAGAAAGGTTTATTTAGCTCACAGTTTGTGGAGGTTTCAGTCCATACTCCGCTGGCTCCAAAGCAGAGTGGCACATGGCGGAGGGCAGCAGTTCACAGTCACGGCAGCAGGAAACAGCAAAAGCAACAAGAGCAAAAAGGGAGAAGCAGAGACAGAGCAAACTTCCTTCCCTCCCT